CGCCTGGACAGCATCAGCAGAGTGTGCTCCAAGATCATCGGACTTCCCACTCGCCCTCTGATTGCAGTGTGCGAGCAGCAGATCCTTGGTCTAGCTGCTCAGATCATGAAAGACCCCTCACATGCTCTCTTCCCCGCGTTCGAATGGCTGCCCTCCGGCCGCAGGCTGCGGTTCCCAGCTTGCAGGACAGCGAGAAGGAGATCCACCTTCGTCCCCCAGGCTGTTCTCCGCTTAAACTCTTAAACTCTTATTCCAATATCCCTGACACCCCTCCCCCACCATACAAACTCGCATACCCCATTGTGCAATACGGGTTTACAGTGCAATACTTGACGTGCAATACTGTTTTCATGCGCAATACTGTCTTACTGTGTTCTCACTGTGCAATACTGCTCGATGTGCAATACTATTTCGATGCTGAAGCCACTACCTCAAGACCTCAAGTGCTGAGCTACTCTTATCCTATGTCTTTCCTTGCTCTTACTGTCTCTGCTATAAGCCGCTCTCGCACGACTCTAATTGCCCCACGGGGATAAATAAAGTTTTCTGAATCTGAATCTGAATCTGAAAAATTCCAATCAAATTCCTCTGCTCGATTGAAGCGCAGTAAGGAGGCATGAAACACCTCTTTGTTTTTTAATTCATTAACTTATTTATTTTTTGATACACGACACTGTTAGTGATATATTGTAGCAGCTGAATTTGGTTATTAAGAAAATTTGAAAATAATCCACCCTCCGAGCCAGGGAACTTGAATCACATTTGCATTTAAACAGCTGAAATGTGTTTTTTTTTTTTTAAACAAAGCAATATGGCCAGCATTGAGCCCAGAGGGTCAATCATAGTTATATAAATGTAATTGGACAGTATTTTTGCTTTACAATTACAATTGATTGAACTACGGTAATCTTTTTCTTTTTGCTGTGCTCTATTCCTTGCAGAGTATGAGCACAGTTGCAGGCAGCAGTTGCCCTTTGTGTGCGAAAGGCTTAACATCACATTGGTGGAGAACAACCCTCTGGAGCCTCATCCTGGAGGCCTGCCATGTGGAAATACCTCCCTTGCCTTCAGAAATAAGGTTTGATACTTTTCAGATCAACTAGTCACAGTCCCATTGCTTGCCAGAAGCATTTAAATCATATTTGACACTATGGTGAATGGTCAGGGACTTTTCTGTTGGCGTAAAAACGATCAGAAGCACTAACCTACATTTACAACCAAAATGTTAATATTTGTTCCATGTAATTGTATTCAATTAATCCCAACAGTCTGTTCTCTTCATTTAAGATAAGATAAGAAAACCTTTATTTGTCTCACAATGGAGAAATTCCCTGGTTGGTTGGTGAGAGCCAAACCTGTTCGAGCCAACTTTGACTAGCAAAACATATCTGGAGTTTATCTGCAGATGTTAATCTTACATTAGATTTTTTTTAATGGCTACAAGAGGAGCTTAATTGTCTTGGTCTTGGACATGTTTATACATCTATTTTTAAGGTTGTCTTTTTCCAGAAAAGATCGATATAATTAGACAAAATTTAAGACTCGCTGTGGCTAATGCTGCTGTTGAAAATATTTTTTTCTTAGTGCTACACACTGCTGCAGAATGTGAAGCCAGTGTCATTTAAGACTGCCAATGAGGAGTGCCTGTCAGTGAGGGGAACCCTCGTCACCATATCTGACCAAGTGGAGCAAGGTAATTCTTGGACACATAAACCAGATTGTAAAAGTGCCTGTAAGATAATGTCCTAATAACTCCCCTGAACTCCTTATCTTGTGGACATTATGTTCCTCACAGTGATAACCTACAAAGTGCTACTGCTTCTTTCTTTAGACTTCATCACCAGCCTGTTGCCAGGAATGAAGGACATGGGAGGCATATGGATTGGTCTCAAACAGAAACGTAACAAACTGGAGTGGCTGGACAAGTCGCCAGTGAATTATGTTAATTTCCATCCTCTGCTCATTGGAATGCACAAGGCCATAAATGTCAATGTGAGTGATTTTTATTAAAATTGCTGTCTAGGGGAGGGGGAAAGTCTGAGCAGCATTTCACTCAAAGGCAAGCATTCATATGAAAATATTTTTGTCATCATTGTACTTGTTTTTGCCGGGCGAGCGGCGAAGCTCTGTTTTACACCTGGGGACCCCTCATTCAAGTGAATGTGACCCCGTGATCGGTGTGTGCAAACACATTAAAAAAAAAATCTCTAGCCTACATAATATTTCATCCAGTAGTACATCTGAAATTGCAAATATGGTCCACCTTTGTTGTAAAACGCTCTAGTCTTTATTCTACATACTGTATTTTTATGATTGGCGATGACCAGAGGGCGGCTCTGTCTGGCTCGTGTAAAACCAGGAAATGGACATGTGCAGCAGAGTTGCTTGCTGCGTTGGTGTCGGCCAATCAGATCACAGTTGACGACACAGCCCCAGATGGGTCTGCATTTTAGAACCACCTCCAAGATGGTTCTGAAAAGCCGTTCCATTGAAAAAGTGTCATGGAAAAGCGTCCCCTTCCTGCTTAAGCTGCTACCCCTGTGACCCAAACCTAGATAAGCAGATGAAAAGGGATGAATGGATGGATGGAATGGATGGATTTAATATGTTATTAATATTAGTAGGAGTTGTCATAATATTTATTTATGGAGAGACATCGGTCATGTTAATGATTTCTCACAATAATTGGGAAACAGATTAGGAGCAATATGGAACACTTTATTTCCAAGGCTTTCTGCCAGTGTTCACAAATGATGACATCTACAGCCTTTTTAGAAAATGTCCCATCACCGATGAGCTATTTTTAGAAGAGGCCCGTGGGCTATCATATGCTGCTTGGGGGCTGCCTGGTGCCTGCGGGCACCGACCGCTGGTCTGCAATGTATTAACTAGCGCTACAGTCCTCAGTTCATTTCTTTGTTTTGTGAATTTTGTCCCAGAAGCATCTTCAGATGTTCTAAATGTGTATGTTTTCTTTACAGACGCTTGACCCAGACAACATGGATTTGTGTGTCTTTTTAATCAATAACCCCAGTTCGGCAGTGATGAGTACCTGGGACTATACCTCTTGTACCCATTATCAACATGGGGCAGTTTGCCAACATTATGCAGGTAAAACACTGCTTCTTTCCCTTTACAGTGGTACCTGTACTTACGAACGTCTCTTCATGCGGAATTTTCAAGTTATGAAACGTCTCAACGGGAAAATATTGCCTCTTGTTGTGAAAGAAATTTCAAGATACGAAAGGTAAAAATACAGTATGGGCCGTCAGTCGCAGCTCTGAGTTTCCTGAACGCAACATGCTTATAGCTGCTCTGTCATTGGCTATTACCAAGCATCTTCCTGGCTTCCTATTGGCTAAGAGGGACCGGTACCATATGTGTCTATGTGTGTAGATAGATAGACATGTGTCTATGTAGCGTCCTCGTCATTCACCCCTCTGGCCATGAGGTGTTCCGATAGTTTTACGTAAATGTAAATCACCCAGAAAAAGTGTTCACCAGTCGGATGATCGCTTCCTATGCTGATGTTTGCCTTGGACATTTTCAAAGGATTGTTAAAAGCCGACCAAAGTAAACATCCTAGGATCAGTTCTTTACAAAACGCCAGGCAAAAACCACTTCTGAGAGAGAACATGGACTAAAAAGAAGGGCAAAAACGATGAGGACGCAGTTAAAAGTTAAATGACTATCATTTTTATTCTTGACTCTATTTGTTTTTTACATTATGCACAACTCTCATTTATTGTGCGATAATCTAATTGTAAAATGTATTTGTTACATATTTTGATGCATTTTATGCTTTAGCAAACATTTATGTCTAAATTTTGGGGGGGCTTGGAACGAATTAGGGCATTTACATGGAAAACGCGTCTCTACTGACAACATTCTCTCGTTAAGAAATTTCTTCCAGAACCAATTAATTTTGTAAGTAGAGGTACCACTGTAATAACACACCCCTTTGCCATCCGAGATGCTTTTTTGCTTGATTGAAATCTGCTTTCTTCAACCTAACTGAGGCAAGAAAGCTTCTCCATCTTCATTGTAGCGCTCTTGTCATTTCAGATCAAGTCGAGGAGCCTTCCGTCACTTCGGAGCCCTTCCAGGTCAACAACCACACCTTCCAGCTACTCATCAAGAACCTCACCTGGTTTGAAGCCTTGGAGCAGTGCATGGAACAGGAAATGGATCTGGCGAGCGTTGCCGACACCCTCCTGCAGTCCACGCTCAGTGTGCACGTGAGCCGTGCGCGCACGCCCCTGTGGATCGGCCTCTTCAGCGAAGATGTACGTGTGCCCGGCTGGCAATGGCTCATGTTGCTTACATTTCAGCTTTTATTCCATATCGTTAATATCCATCATAAGGTCCATGTACTAGTACGGGCTCACACTTTACCTGAACAAATGTGTCTTACTAGTAGTGTTAATTCCACAACTAGTGCCACATTTGGCCTATTAACTAGTCTTCTACGAGTACCCTGAATTGTCCTTGTGAGGACAAAGAGTGTTACGAGTATATGGGCCTTAAGCTGAAATTCAAGGATATGGAATAAAAGCCACAAAAGTTCTCCATGCCCACTCCACTCAGGACGGGATCCACTATCGCTGGACGGACCACAGTCACACCGTTTTCAGTCGCTGGTCTTCTGAGGTCACTGAAGGCGCCTGCGTCTACCTGGACACAGACGGCTTCTGGAAAGCAACAGAGTGTGAGCAGACACTCGGAGGTGCCATCTGCCACAAGCCACACAGTGAGTGAAGATTTCTGTTTTAGATCTCAAAAGATGTTTAACACTCAGGCCTTATGCTGTTGATATTTCCGGCCCGATGAACAAACATCAGTTCTTGTAATTTCTTGTCTTTTTTTTCCCCCCTGAAACAGCTGAATTTGGAAATGAACAAATCAGACAATTGTCAACTTGCATCACATTTCCACTTCACAGCTAGAATGGTTGGAAAATGGGTTGGACTGGACTCGAATGGATGTCTCATTTTTGTTTTTCAGAAGAGATAATTACCACACCGGAAGACGTCGCAGTGAAGTGTCCCCACAAAATCAATGGCCCAAACTGGATCCCTTTCAAGAACAACTGCTACGCCTTCCATCTGGCTGCGTCCAGATGGGAGCAGATGGACCAAGGGCCCATCCGCAGAACCTGTGTTAACCTCCGTGAGAATGTCACCACAAGAAATCAGATTGGTTGAGTGTCAGATGAGTGCAGGTCCTGATGAGGTGTTTTTGTTGCAGACAAAGACGCTGACATCCTGACCATCCGGAACGCAGAGGAGAACGAGTTCATCAGGCAGCAACTTCTGCCCTTTCAAAACTTGGCTCAGTTTGTGTGGCTTGGGCTATTCAAAAATAACAGTGGGTCTTTGAACCTTTACTGCTTTTATTGCAGCGAACCTCTTGGCAAACAGCATTAAGTACAGTACACGTGCGCAACCAAATAAGATCCAATCCAAGAGCTGTATCCACATTTTTCTGCCATTACATTGACATTAATACGAATTCATTGTATTTTATTTATTAATTTTGGGATCTTAAAAATGTACTACTGTGCTTTATTGGCCATTACGGGATTGAAATGTGTGTGTTTTCAGCGATCGGTAACCACTTGGAGTGGTATGATGGAACAACTGTCCAATATTCCAACTGGAGAAATGGTCGACCAGAAGTCGATGGCAACTTTATGGCAGGTGTCAATCTCCAAGGCAAATGGGTTCTCATCACAAACCGAATGTTGTTCTCCGAGTTCAAGCAAAGAGCCGTTGTGACCTGCAAACTGGATAATGGTTTGTGCTTCATTTGAAAAAGCCCGAATTTAAAGCAGAACATTTCTTTGCAATACTATGTTCTGTTTGCCCCCATTAGTCTAAACATGCCATTCTGGTGAATATTGCATTGAAGGAATAAGAATGAAGCAGATAAACCACCCGTTTTTATCCATCTCAGGGCGCAGCCATTTTGACGTTCTGCCACCCTCTGCTGTTGATTGCAATTGACCTTGTGACATTCGCAATGCGAGCCCAAAGCCGTATGGCACTTTGACATCAGTTGCAGTCGACAGCAGAGCACAGTGGAATGTCAGAACGGCTGCGTCCTGAGATGGATGAAAACGGGGGAATTGATCTGATCTGCTTGATTCTTATTACCCCACGCCATATTACTCAAAATACCTGTGGGGGCACAAATTTTTTTGACCAGTTTATTCTCTCCCAAGAACCAAAGGAGAAGTACTCCAAGTCCACCAGGGATTATCAACACCTCGGCAGTTTAACCTACGAGGTGGTGACGCAACGTGAACTGAATTGGTACCAGGCTTTGGAATTGTGCGCTCAGCGTGGAGGCCACCTGGCCAGTGTGCATGACGACAAGCATGGCGCGCACGTGAAACTCCTCGCAAAAACGGACGGATTCCCACTCTGGATTGGCCTGTCCAACCAGGAGGTAAGAATTTACTGAGCGAATACAATCAACTGTCATTTCCTGTGTTTAATATGCAAATGTTGCCAAATAAATGATCCAAAATTCCCCCCAATTTTTGTACATGGGTCGATAAACATGTTTTTTATTTAATAGATATTTACCAGTACCTACATACAATACAATACCTCCTGATTTTTATAGCGCTTTGAGGACAGCTGCAGCTGTAACAAAGCGCTTTCCAGAACATTTAACATAAACAAAACAATAACACAACAGAACACATAACAGGAAACATCAACAATAATACAGCTGCATTATTGTATCTTGTATAAGTAGAGGTCGTTTTTTTAAAATGCGATTTTAATTCCGTTGTACTTATTGTTGCTCTTTGGAAAGTGGCTGTGGGAGGGTGTGGAATTTTTTAAAAAATAGACGTGAGCTTTTCTTAACCTCACCTGTTTTATGAAGCCGAGCCATGATTAGTCCTTACCTGAACCCCGAGTAAGCGGTCATTTTCAGTCGACAGCAAGCGGCAAAATGGTTGCCACTTGTGATTTGAGCACCTTTGCAAATACATCTCATAAACCGCAATGTCATTGTCCCATATTGCCGAAAAAATAATGGCGGACTGGCCGCTGGCGAATGACGGACCGGCAATATTTACTGAGGCGCCGATCTCTCTGCATATTACAGTATAGAAGGGGGCGTATCATTCCCTGGAAATTATAGTAGACTAATCACCAAAAGTTAAGGCTGTTGGAATTTTGGGTGAAATTTCACGACGAATTCGGACATACCATAACCAAGGACATCCACTTCCATGCCTTTGTGTGACTCTTGCAGCATCTCTATTCCAATCCTTCTCGTGACATAATCTGCTTTGAAACCTGGCCAACAACCTGAGAGTGTCACAATATCATTGAGAGTTTGCAACAGAGAAACTGGAAGAGTCACAGAAAGGCATCAAATGTTGGAACATTCAAAAGTTTAGAGAAGGTCAAATTATGTCTGCCTGTATAGGTTTCAGTGCATTTTACCTCCGTTTGGAAATTTTAGCCCAGTATCCCTCACTTTTTATTGAATAGTGTCGATGTATCTTCAATTTAGGTACAATAAATGAATTCACCTCATATGCTAACTCAACCTCTTGTGTGCGTCCATGTAGGCTGGGCATGAGACCTACGAGTGGTCGGACGGGACCAGCTACCAGTACAAAGCAGACATCTCGGAGTCAGTGGAGGGTGCCAGCGCAGACGAGCGAGATGTGGGCGGCTGCGTCTTTGTCATGCCCTCCGGTGCCTGGGTGAGGAGCAGCTGCTACACGCTGCTTGATGGCGCCATCTGCTACAACACAAACACCAGCACCCCTTTCCAGAGTAAGACACCAGTTTGAAAATACACCCTTGCAGGTATTCATTGATTGTCCGTCCTTTTTCCTCTTCTTTTGTTCTCCAACATATAAATTTTAATAAGAAATTGATAGGAGAGGAGCGTTAGAGTTGAGTGGTAGTTTTTAATGTTTTTTAAACAACAAACTCAGAAAACAACAAACTACATTTTTATACATCAAAGAACAAATACTGTCTAAAAAATGGAGATGTGAACATGGATTCTAAATGAAATAAACGCAAAAAGTTGATGTAGAAATTAAATTACTCTGAAGACAAAAAAACCCCAAAAAATAAGGGTAAATTTTTACACAAATGATCAAACATTGAAGATTACAAATAGAATTGCAAAATGCAAACGAAATCACATAAAAACATGTAGGAAAAAATGCAGGTTAAATTCTTACACAACAAAATGTGCAAGGTTTTTAGATTGAATTCTCATTCATTTAAGAAAAAAAAATATTCGTAAATAAAATTGTCATGCATTGAAGAACAAAACATTTCGGGGGGAAAGCTCATAAAGGAAATAAAAGACATTAAATGTTAAGGGGAAAAAAATGCAGATTAAATTCTCATGTTCAACAGCCAACATTAAAGCATATCTACAATTCAACTGATTATGAGTTGGAGATTCTGTCCTCTATTATTTCCTCAAAACCTCACGATTAGCTGTTCTTGTGCTCAGGTCAAAACCATGTCTCACATATTAATAGCTTTGACGTCATCTGGTAGTGTCTTGTTATGGTGAACGTCATACAGGGTTCAATCCCTGTTAAAAAATATTCCAGCAGTCTTTTTTTCCCCCAATTGATCATATCGGTTCTTTGAAGTTGTCTTGCTCCATCCAAACTCCGGTTTCGTGTGTGTTCTGGCACCAGAAGCCAAGCTGCAGGCGAAAGCACAGGTCAACAGCTGCCCTCAGGGCAACGGCACATCCAAGTGGGTGCAGCGTGACGACCGCTGCTACGCCTTCGACATGAGCTTCTACAACTACAGCGTCTACGATATGCAGCGGGCCAAGAGCATCTGTCAGAGCTTGGGTTCGTCCGTGCTTTTCACCCAGACTGCTAATCCACTTTTGCAAGCCACCTCATTCTAACTGCTGACCTGTTTGTTGTTGTTGTTGTTTTGACAGGCGCTCAACTGCTGGCTATAAAAAGCAAAGAGGACAACGACTTTGTGGCCAAGTACGTGAGCGACGACCCTCTCATCACCAGTCGGGTGTGGCTCGGCCTTGACATCGATGCTCAAGGTAAACTAACCAATTCAGCATATATTGTTTTTTTAATTGCGATTATGTAGATGTACGCTCTCTGCCCTCACTGATCAAACAATTGAGCGCAGCTGTAGAACGACCCTGTTCTGTAATATTCGTTCTTTTCACTATTGCCTTATATACCGCATTATAAGGCACACTGGATAGAAGCTATGATAGTGGCTGCAGTTACGTGATGCATCCACTAGGTAGAGCTACATAAAGGGAATACCGTACAATACAACACAGCTTTTATTGGTATTGGGCCTTCACAACAACTGTAAATGTAACAAGGTGCTTTACAGAACATTTAGAATACTCCGTCCAAGAAATCAGAATATTGATCCATATGTAGCTCCCTCAGAATGTAGCATGAAGCACGACACAAAATGCATAAAAATACAGAGTTTATTCCTTGGCAAGCCGTGAGAACTGGTCACAAAGACGGACATGAAATATATAAATACAAATGACATGACAAAACAATAAAAGACAAAAGTTATGAAGACAAGTGATTGAACAAAACGGCACGCAAACCTCATGGGCTCACATCCACAAGGGGCTAAATATCCTTGGAAGTCTTGCTTTTTCTTCCTTCGTTTAGTCAGTAGTTCACTATGCTTTCGGGATTATCTGCGTTTCATCATTGCTGCGCAGAGCTCACAAAGTAGTTGTCTGAGTGTGTGTTGGCGAATGCGCATGTCAGTTAGTGTCGGGCAAAACCCATTTAGGTTACAATTGGTTCTTGGTAATCACCACTAAATGGCATAGCAACACGAACAGGGAAACATCTCAATGGGGAATATAGAGAAACTGCAACACCATATATGAGGTGCATTGGATTATAAAGCGCACTGCCGGCTTTTGAAGAAATTGAATGCTTTTAGGTGCGCCTTATAATGCGGAAAATACTGTACTCAGTGACAGCAAACATAGCGAGGAAAAACTGCACTCATTGACATTTGTGTGCTTCTACTGCAAAATACGAGAAGTGCTAGATGTTAACTTGTAGAATTTCATAATGCCGCGAGTAACTTTTCATAAAGTCGTTGCCGACTGGTAGGACAACTATGAAGTTGATATTGACAACGTGTTTAAAAGGTGTGTTTTGATGAGTCATCACGCTGAAATTGCCCTCTAATATTTTTTGGGTGTCGTGTGTGTTTGTGCGGACGTTTACGAGGAAGTCTTTGTGATTAGGTTCTCCCACAGGCTGGGAGGACGGTTCGGCTCTGTCCTACTCCAACTGGAAGTCGGGTGCCTTGGTTAGTGCGGCGCAGCGGAAGGAGGCCCCGTGCGCCATCATGGCGACCGAGGACGGAGGCAGCTGGAGAGTCGTCAACTGCCAGGCCAGCCTCAGTCGCGTCATCTGCCAAACCAAAGCCGGTGAGTGTCTCTCCTTTTCAAGCGACCGAGTACTTTGCCTCTGTACTGACTGGAAGTTGTTAATTCATGAATACTTGAGCCCCGTTATAATTCTCATGATCCCCCCCCCCCCTTTTGAAACACAAAGCACTCTTGAATAAGCTTGAACATAAGGCCGATAAATATTTTCCATTTTTTATGAAGTGGGGGGGGGGGGTCTATAAGAAAATTACAAACACTTTCAGGGTGGTGGCAATTACTGGCAGATTTTCCAGGATCCACAACTGGGCCAAATGCTGATCCCTTGTGAATTGACAGTATGAAAATCATTTGTCCTTTTTTATTTAACTATGCATCACAGTATACTGTACACTTCTTCAGTACCAGAATTGAATCAATACTTTAACCAGTCTAATTTTAGTACTTGTGACTTATATACACTAAGTACAGAATGTAGCAAGTACTTTAGCCAGCCTGCTAAGTAGAGTTAGGCGCTGTTCCATATGACATGGTCGTGTTCACGCTTGTGTTGTCAGAGTCTTCCGGTTCTCCCGTGGCTGTGGGCTTCTTCGTGTTCATCTTGCTTGCTCTCGCACTTGCCGTGGCTTTCATCGTCTACAAGAAGCAGCGAGGCCACTTCTCCTCCTCTGTGCGCTACAAGAGGACGACCGACCAATCGGACACCACCAGTATAATCACAGAAGGCGAATGAGCTTGCCGGAACAGTTGCCTCAGGGAGTTTTGATGTGATCCGCTGACCCTCCTTTTCCCCGCCCCTTTTTAATGATTAATTTATTTATTTATCAGCTCCCCCGCCTGCTTATCTGAAGAGTTTAAATATGATTGGACTGCTTGAATGCAGTGTCTTAATTTGGATTATTTTAGATTTGTGAAGTACAGTGAGCCACCCCCCGTTTATTGCTGCAGTGAGACCATGTACATTTGGAGAAAAAAACAATTTGAAAATAGTTGCGGCCCTCACACGCAGTTGAAACACACTTAAACTGATGAAAACATACTTTTTAAAGGATACTAAAGTGCCTTCTCAGCCTCTTGCTTTCCAGAAACAGGAGAGAAGCGCATACCATCACTTTAAGGAAACAAAGACTCTCATGTGCAGTTCGCCAAGTTAAAATCCAAGCATGCATGGTTCTACAAAAAAAAAAAAAAAATCATAAATCAAACCTAACAATTTAGCATTAAACCCTTCAAACAATTGCAACTTGATACGCACCGAGCAGCAACACATACAAACAGCAACATTACTCAACTCCATAAAAGGAAAACAGTGCTTAAAAACCCAAACAGTGAGTGCAGTATAAATGAGCTGCGATTTTCCGTTGGGTTCACTGTACTTCTGATCGTTCTTGACATTGGTTATAGGCTGAGGTTTGTTTTACCCTAATTTTGAGTTTTTTGACAATCGTGTGAGCAAAATCTCATTTATCTGCCTGGGAAGGTTCAATTGCACTGATGAACACTCATGTTGTAGAATTTGTTTTCCTTTTTGCTAAAATGTCCCGTCAATTTGCACTTGTGTCTGAAGGAATACCTTGAAGCAGATCATTTGTTATTTTCTTAAAATTGTAAGACATGTGCCTTTTAAAGAAGGAAAAAAAAGATGACTTTCTCACTAACTGTGCCTTTTGGGTGTCGGGAAAAGAAATGGGAGTGGTTATGTCACTGGAATAGCTTTTTGCTACTTGAACCGACGATTAACGCATGTTCATGATTAACTGCAAATACAGTAGTTGGCCAGAAGAGGGCGAGTCAGACAAGCGTTCACAACTGCTGCCGGTGCAGCTCAGACTTTTCGATGATGCACTTGACGACTGAGCAAGAAGCACTTTAACAGCGCCACGTGGAAGACATTTGGGAGTTCGACTTTGTGTACACGTGTTTGCCTTGTAAATATGTGGTATTTGTTTTCCAAACAAACCAAAGATGCTTCATTTATTGAATGTCAGACTTTTTTTAGCTTGCCTTTTGTTTTCAACTCTGTAAATTTGGTTTCTAAGTTGTAAAGCTGACTGTTTTTGTCCCCCCAAAAAATGTATTGC